GCTACTCCAAATACCAAAAAATCAAAGACATCAAACGTATCATTTGAGATTTTGTCTGCTTGTTGCACTATATCACTTTTCTAATAGCATTACTCTTTCATATTAGTCAGTTACATTCAAAATCTCCACATAAAAGAAAATCTACCCACGATATTTCAATGATAGTGAAGATGATGAGGACACTCCTCCCACTCCTTCACAAACTAAGAAAATAAAGAAGAAGAAAGCGAAAACTTCTGATGCATCCTCTTCACAGCCATCCAAGCAAAAACCATAAGTCATTATACTGCCTCCAAAACCCAAAGAGAAAAATACGTTCCAACCATCTAAAGGTATAACTTTTATTTGTTATTCTTCTTCGATCACCATCGTTATTTTATTCAAACTAATGTTTTCTTTTATTTCGCATGAAAATCAACTAACTCCTACCGAGTATCCAATCAAGCATGGTGTTCTTCATAATAGTGGTACTGCTTCATACCATCTCCTATCTAGCAACAAATATTTCAGCAAAGGGTCTTCGTCTGCAGTTAACCAACTTGATACAATTGTACCATCTAATTAGGAATCCATTCCTCGGGCCAAGAATGACCAAGAGGTACGTCAAGGTGAGGCCAAGAGGGTTAGTGATGAAGAAGGACAAAACAATGATAGCCCTAGTGATTATTCTCCCAAAAATATTAAGTTTACTCATGACTTTCTTGATGATGATGAACATCTTACTGATGAAATCGCATAGTACTTCCAAGAAAATGAAGAAGGAGCAGAAGAAGAAGAAGAAGATGAAGAAGAAGAAGAAACTAAGGGAGAAAAAGACGAGGAACCTCATGTTCAAACTAGATCCCAAGATGAAATCACTTCTACAAATCAATAAACTCATATGAACGCCTCACTACAACTTTCTCAATAAGAACTAGAGGCTTTGAAGAAGAAAAAACCCCTTCAGTATGTAAGGCTCATGATGGCAAAAAGGGTACCACTTGGCCAACAAAATTTCCCCAGCCCATCTGTAACTTCGAGTGGGAGTTCCAACGCTGAAACTAATAACCAACTCCTCCAGAAAGTTAAAGAGAAAATCTTCAAAGCTGATCTGTTCGGAGTCCTGAAGAATAATGCCACTGCGAGCGCCGTGCTAAGGAAGTTGATAAACCAAATTGATATAGTCACGTGCCCTTATGAGACTGCTAAAATTCTGATGGATGTGACTACTCTGATCAACACAATCAATGTAGACTTCCTTAGGGAACATGATGTGTCTTCGAAGCTTCAAGAAAAGCAAACCCTTCAGGAGACTGAGTAGTCAAAAGCTCTTGACTCAACCAACAAAGCTGAAAAACTTGGCAAAGACTTTAAGAATGCCAAAGAGGAGTTCAATACCAACATTCACTCTATCTCCTTCTGGAAAGAACATATCAAATAATTGAAAGAGAAGATTTCTCATACAGAAACACACCAGAAAGTTATCAAATAGATGGACCATATTGAGATGAAGCGTGACATTGCTCAAAGTGTGCAACATTTGGATGCTGCGAGACAACTAGAGGATGAAATAACTGCTATTCATGCTACTAAATCTTCTATTGACTATAGGCTGAAGCTGGCGAAGACCAAGTATGACAGGATGAAAGCCAACTCTCCTTTTTGAATCTGCTGATCTTTGGTGTATTTCTATTTTGCTTTTTTGTGTAATTTTGAATTATGTAATTTTAAGACGAAGCCATTTTGGAATTTTATGATGAAACCATGTTGGCTTTTAATTCGTTACTTTTACTATTCTATCATAATCTTTAGTTCTTAAAGGATAGGTTTATACTTTTTTAAGTACTTTCCATTTATCTTCAAGATTCTTCAATCCTCTGTAAATTATTTTATTTCGTAGGAATTATTTGTGAATGTTTGAATAATTCGAAAAGGTCATTCCCAATGTGGAGACCATTTCCCTAACAACTTATTCTTTCGATCCATTGGTAATATTACCTTCTGCACCAAATCATCATTCGAAAAGAATTTACCTCTGATTCTTTTATTATATGTTCTAGTTATTCTTTCTTTTTCTTCTTCTTAGGACCTCTAAAGCATATAGCCTATATTCTTCGAAATCAACCAAGCCATTAGATTTTTATTTTGATTTGTGTAAGTCTAGCCAATTCAATGGCTTGGTCTTAAACATTTCTACCGCTACAGTATGTAAAAGGATTTTGATTTGAACTTAAAAGGAATGTATAAAACCTCAATTGAAAATGAATGGAAATAATCATAAAACGGGTGCATTATGCGTATATTCTCACAACTCGTTTCTCGAACACTGGTACTTTGAGTAATTTAGAGTAATTTATACAAAGATGTGAATACACTGAATCCTAACGCTAAGATCCTAATTTGTACTAATTCGACCATAACGGTCTCCTTTTAAGATATTGCCACGTTCGACGTCTGCATGTGCTTTCAAACCTTATGCTTCCACGCGTCCTTTTTGGATAAGGATCACATTTGGATTTCAAATCTTTCTTTATTTTGAAGCGCCAAACCTGTCCAATGTGCCATAATGAACTAATTTCGAAAATCAAACCTCCAAATCTTTAGACATCAAATTATTTCAACAAGTTTGGACCATCCATAATCTTGATCAGTCGAACCTTATAAAGAAAATATCTTTGTTCTTTCTAATTCAACTACCGTCAAAATTCCAACTAACAAAAGGCCATATTGTCCCTCTGCCTTTCAGATCATGGTTCCAAAATCACATTGTCCTCATGTTTAGTATTGGCCCAAACAGCGGACGAAAAGTAGTTATCCTCTCCTCGTCAGAATACAAAGACGAAAAACCATGTACTTTGAAAAAAATTTAATCCGTTTCCACCCTTGATTCGTTGTAAGAGCAGGGAGAGTAAGAAAGTATCTATCAAAATCACTAGGACCCTCTTGTCCCATGAGGCCTAATTTGCAATGTTAAGTGTACAACCACTCCTTAAAATGTCCCAAAGTCAAATAATTTATGCTAAGAGTAGAATGAGTAAATGAAGAGCGGAGTCATACCTACAACCATGATCAAGAATTTGTAGAGTAAAAGCGTTATTCACAAGAGGAAGTGTGGGAAGTAAGAGATGCAACGTCTCGACTTTATTATAGATTGATCGCGCTTTTATTAGTTGTGGCGCTCCCTTTTTTTAGTACGTCGCTGATTGGTCACCATTTCTACTTTGTTTCCGTCACTTATTCGATATAAGTTAATCAAATATATAACAATTTGGTTTGTCTTTTAGTCATTTTGTTTAAGTTATGTTACTTTTCAAAAATGTATCTTTGTGTTGCTTTTATTTGAATTTCATATCTTTTAGATGCTTTTGATGGTTTGGTTTGGTAGGTGTTGATAATCTCAGATGCATGTAAAAATATTTAGAGGATTTGTTCAAACGCAAAGCAAAACATGAAGTTGTAGGGGCCCTGACACAGTCACCCGTGTCACCTGACACAGACCGTGTCAGGAGAAGAAAGAAAAGAAGTTGAAGACAAAAGGTGACACGGGTGCCCGTGTCAAGTCATCTGAAGCATAAACTTTTGGAGGAAGGCTCATAGACGCTGACACGGGTGCCCGTGTCCACTGACATGGAACGTGTTAGCTCAGGTGCTGATAATTCATAATTTTGAGAATTTCTAGTGTTTTTTGAACCCTGGAGGCTACTTTAGACTTTTTGCATCACCTAGGAAGGACCGTACTACTTAAACCTAATTTGAAGAAGGAAGAAGGACTTTTGGAATGATTAAATAATTTCACGATAGAAGACTGGAGATCCAGAGGAGCTTCGGGAACAGAGAACTCTTCATGCACGATAGCAATTGAAGATCGAAGAGTCCAACTTATTGTAATGTCTACATCTAATATTTGTGTTATTTTACTTTTGAATTCTATGAGGGGCTAAACCCTTAATGCTAGGGGGTGTCCCTGATTTGCAATGTTAAGAATACTGATCTCTTTGTTTCATTCAACATAAAAGTATTTTTATGTATCAATTTGATTTTTTAGAAGAATTTATAGTTTTACCCTATGGGACCATAGGATTTCACTGTTATTAACACATTAGAACCGGAAGGTCGTGTTAAGGTTTTCTAAATAATGATATTATAGATGATTTCACCTAGGACTAGGGAAATCCTATAATAACCAGAATAATTCTTGATAATTGAATGCTTAACCTCAAAACTAATTTGAATGGACATTGAAATTAGGGTATAAGGTTAAAGTTTTTTCACTAAGGACTTAGGAAAAGATAATCTTAAGAATCGGTAATTGAGGTTGATGAACTTGTTGAAAAGATCAAAGAGTGAAGGTTATTTCATGGCAAATCATACACTCATCCCTAGCATCTTTTAATCAAACAGAAAAAGTCATATTTTACCTTCAATCATTTAATCTTTCGCAAGGATTTATTCCAATCAAATCCAAAACTATTGTTTTTGTTTGATTGAATTAATAATAAAATTCAGTATTTCCTACGTAGTCCCCGAGATCGATACTTTGAGAAAATTCTATTATTACTACATCAGTGAAAATAGTACACTTGTTATTTTTTCGATCAGCCGCCTACCTCTAGATTAGCTTACCCAAAGTAGTAAAATATGGGCACTAACATGTCCCAGTCCACAACGGCAGAGAAGAAGTCGAGGAAAAATCGATCGCACTCTCTTTAATAATAGGATATTAATTGCTCGCAACCACGATCTTTACGAGGTGCTCGCTACTTTAAAGGCACTTGTTATTGTTATAGGAAATTTCATGCACTCCAAAATTTTTCATATTTTTTGTTTTCCTCTTTTTAATTAGTAATTGTTTATGGTTTATGAAGTTACTTTAGTACTGCCAACCTAGTTGAGATGACTAAAAAACAAAACTTCTTCGAGTGTTCCTAATAGTGTCTTTCTGATCCTTTTAATATACATGTGTACCATGCAAGTCTTTAGCAACATAAAACAAAGTGTTATACTAGAAAGAAAAAAAAACTATGAATAAACTATGGGCACAATTCGGCTCTATACTAGCCACAATCATGTTTGTGTATGCCATAATTGAACGTTTTCTACCACCTGCATTTCGAGATACACTTCAAATCTCCACACAAAAAGTACTAAACCTTTTATACCCTTACATCCAAATCACATTCCATGAATTTTCAGGTGAAAGACTAAAAAGAAGTGAAGCATACACTTTCATCCAAACCTACCTTAGTGAAAACTCGTCACAACTAGCCAAAAGACTCAAAGCAGAAGTCATGAAAGACAGTCAAAATCCATTAGTTCTTAGCATAGATGATGATGAAGAAGTCACAGACGAGTTTCAAGGTGTAAAACTTTGGTGGGCCGCGATCAAAATCGAAACTTCATCGCATGGTTTCTCATCCTTCTCGAATTATAAAAGATACTACAAACTCACTTTCCATAAAAAAGCATAGAGATTTAGTAACTATTTCGTACATCAAACATGTTTTAAAAGAAGGGAAAGAGATTGCAATGAGAAATAGGCAGAGAAAGCTTTACACAAACAACCCTAGTAGTGGTTGGTATGGCTACAAACAATCGAAATGGAGTCACATTGTGTTCGAACACCCTGCAACATTTGAAAATCTTGCAATGGAGAAGAAGAAAAAAGAAGAAGTTATTAAAGATCTTTTGAAGTTTAGAAATGGTAAGGACTATTATGAAAAAATCGGTAAGGCTTGGAAACGCGGTTATTTGCTTTATGGTCCTCCGGGGTGTTGGCTGAAGATTTTGATAATGTTATTTAGAAGCCAAAAGAGTTAAACGTTCTGATCGAAATGGAATTAAACGCCATATTTCGAAGTTGCAGAAGCAGTGTTTCGAATAAGTGTGTCAAAGCTTGAAGCTTCGAGCGGCAATTATGGGAACATATCTAAAGGAGTCTTGAAACAACAGCGAGGCTATGTTTGGGAAAAGCGTTCGAAATGGAGAAACACCAAAGCATTTTAAATTCAAATAGGAGCGGGACTTTCAAAGTTTGAAAGTTATGTGTTGGAGCATTTGGGGACACGTGGAAAGATGAAAGAAGCATTGTCCTGCATGTTCGAAACGTGGCATAATCCTATAGCGAGACCGTTAGGGTCGAATTAGTATAAATAGGAGTCTTAGTATTAGGATTTCGTGTGTCATATCTATTATACAAAATACTCAATAACATTCAAACTACCACATGGAAAGGGAAACGAATGCAAGAGAAATGTATGTATGATAACACCATGTATTTCTGATTTAATGAAAACCTTTTACCATTTCCAGTACTTTCCTTTATTCCTTTTGTCAAACAACATTTACAAGTTTTCTTATTCACACCCTTTTTACTTTGAAATCTCTTCTTCAAAGTCTTACACTTTAATGTTGTCTTTATGTTTCGAGCATTTTATATTTCTGAAAACTATCACATTTTCCATACCTTTACATTCAAGTCTTGCCCTTCGAGCGCATACTTTTACTTAAAATCATTTATAGATTTCTTGCATTAAACGTTTTCTCCTTATTTTCAAACTTTTATGTTCCAGAAACCCTTTATGTTAACCGTTTTGTAAGTCGAAACCATTTACTTCATTTTCATGCAGTTTTATATGTCTTTACAATTCAGCATTACAATTAGCATCTATTCGTGTAACTTAGTTTTTATACACATTTTGACTACATCTTTAGAGAGAAATCGAAATAAGCCAAACACCTATACAATATCAACCATGAGTAAATGTTCGATTGTGAGAGTAACCTTAATATCCAAGGAGTCCTAGGATCAATCTAGTCGATCCTGTGAGTTACCAGAGGGATTGAATAACAGTAAGAAAGATTATTCGATAGTTTGGAAGACTAGCGGTTGTTTACCAGAAATCACTGGAAACACGGGGACAGGTAAATCTACTATGATAGCTGCTATGGCGAATTTCATGAACTATTATGTTTATGATCTTGAATTAACTGCGATTAAGGATAATACCGAGTTAAGAAAGTTATTAATTGAAACTTCTAGTTGTTAGTGCAAGGTGATGAAATTGAGGAAGAAGAGAGAAAAAGAATAAATGCTAAAGGCTGCCACAAAATGATTGAAGGAATTGATTGATATAAATGTAAACCTAGTACACCTATTTATACACAAAATGAACAAAGATAAGAATGCCACATAGGGCCCAATGAGAATATATATATATATATATATATATATATATATATATATATATATATATATATATATATATATATATATATATATATATATATATATATATATATATATATATATATATATATATATATATATATATATATATATATATATATATATATATATATATATATATATATATATATATATATATGGCAAATACTAAATTGCCCTCTAATACCATCCCGTAATTTAGTAACTTATCAGAAATTAACAACACCAATTTCATCTCTCAGGCGAAGAAATTGGTCTGTTTTTATCGCCTTTGTCAGAACATCTGCTAGCTTCTTCTGAGTGCTACAGTGCAGAACTTCTAACACTCCTTTCTGCACTTGACTTCTGAGAAAGTGATACTTTGTCTCAATGTGCTTGCTTCTTCCATGTAGCACTGGATTCTTTGCAAGATTAATTGCAGACTTATTATCAATCATCAGCTTCAGAGGTTCCTCAACTTCAACCTTCAGATCATGCAACAGATTCAGAAGCCAAACTGCTTGACACGCAGCTACAGCACCTGCAATGTATTCAGCTTCACATGTTGACAAAGCCACAACCGGCTATTTCTTGGAACTCCAAGAAATTGGACCTCCCAGAAACTTGAACAAGTACCCAGAAGTACTTCTTCTGTCAACTCTATCTCCACACCAATCAGAATCAGAATAACTCAGAAGTTCTGATTTGATCTTTCCTCCAGAAGGAAATAACACTCCATATTTCAGAGTTCCTTTTATATACCTCAGAATCCTGACAGCAGCTTGGTAATGAGACCACTTTGGTTTACTCATGTATTTGCTGACCATTCCAGCTGCATAACAAATATCAGGTCTGGTATTACACAAATACCTCAGAGAACCAACCATCTGTTTGAAGGTTATATCATCCACATCCTCTCCATCAGAATCAGAATCCAACTTTTGATTCGTATCAGCAGGTGTGATAACAATCTTGCAATTTGCTAGCTCAAATCTCTTCAGAAGCTCCAGTTCATACTTCTTCTGATGTAAGATGATTCCTTTCTCAGAGTATATAAATTTCATTCCTAGAAATAAACTCATATTTCCAAGATTTGTCATCTCAAACGCATCCATCAGAACTTTCTTGAACTCAACTGTTTCTTGTTCAGAACTTCCTGTGAGTAATATGTCATCAACATACAAATAGACCAGAATCATATTACCTTCTGAAGTGTGCTGAACATAAACACCATACTCCATCTCACACTTTTGAAACCCTTGTTCCTTGAAAAACAAATCAATCTTCAAATTCCAAGCTCTGGGCGCTTGCTTCAGTCCATACAGAGCTTTATTTAACCTGTATACCATCCCTTCCTAATTCTTTTTCACAAATCCAGGAGGTTGTGACACATAAACTTCTTCCTGTAATGGACCATTCAGAAATGCAGACTTCACATCCAGATGTATCAAAGGCCAATTTCTGTTTGCAGCTAAAGCAATCACTAGTCTGATTGTTTCGTGTCTAGCTACAGGCGCAAACACCTCAAAGTAATCTAGTCCAGGTTTCTGAAGAAAACCTTTGGCCACTAGTCTCGCTTTGTGTTTGCCAACTGATCCATCTGGTTTTAGCTTCTGCTTGAAAACTCATCTGACGATGATGGCTTTCTTGCCTTTTGGAAGTTCTGTCAGCTTCCAAGTCTTATTTCTTTCAATAGCCTCAAGTTCTTCTTTCATGGCATTCAACCATACTTTCTTCTTGAGTGCTTCTTCAATACCCACTGGTTCAGAATCTACTAGCATGGCACACTGAACGATTTCTCCTTCAGAATCTACTTCAGTATCATGCAACATGCTAAAATCTGCAAACCTACTTGGTATTTGTCTGATTCTCTGTGGCCTCTGATCTTGTTCTGAATTTTCTCCAGAACTTGGAACTGTGCTGACTTCTGAACTTTGTCCAGAATTATTTCCTTCAGAATTACCACCTTCAGAGTTACTTCTGGAAGCTTGTTCTCCAGACCCCATGTCTTTAGAGTTTTCCCTTCCAGAAGTATAATCACCACCATATTCTGGATCATCATCAGAATCTGGATCAGAATCAGATCCACTATCAGAATCTCCCTGAGATTCTGACTCATCTTCAGAGTTTTCATCTTCTGACTCTGACTCGTCTTCAGAACTTTCAGAAACTAACCCTGGTATTGGCACTACACTAGAATCTGATTGAAGCTAGTTCCAATCCCATGTTTCTGACTCTTTCACAATGACGTCTCTGCTGATTTCAACTTTGTTGGTTTCTAGACAATAAAGCTTATAGGCACCTGTACTGTGGTACCCCACCAGTAACATTGTTTTGCTTCTATCATCCAGTTTTCGTCTTCTAGCATCTGGAACGTGTTTGTAGCATACAGAGCCAAACACCTTCAGATGGCTAACACTTTGCTTGTCTCTACTCCATTTTTCTAAAGGAACAATTTCCTTCAGCTTCTTTGTTGGACACCTATTCAAAACATATGCTGATGTGGCAACAGCTTCTCCTCATAACATGTGAGGTAACTTCTTCTCTTTCAGCATACTTCTGGTCATATCAAGCAAAGTTCTGTTTCTTCTTTCAGCAAGACCATTGTGCCGAGGAGTATATGGAGCAGTAACCTCATGTTCTATTCCATTCTCCTCATAGAACTTCTGGAACTCTGTAGAGTTATACTCACCTCCACCATTTGTTCTCAGAATCTTCAGCTTCTGACCACTCTGCTTCTCAGCCTTCACCTTGAACTTCTGGAACTCAGTAAATACTTCATGCTTGAACTTGATGAGTGTTACCCATGTCATTCTTGTGAACTCATTCACAAAAGACACAAAATATTTGTTTCCTCCAAGTGAAGGTACTGGAAATGGTCCACACACATCAGAATGTACTACTCCCAGAGCATGCTTTGCTCTGGGGGCTACTTCTGATGCAAATGGCAATCTGGGTTGCTTGCCTTTCGTGCATATCTCACATGACTTCTGAGGCTTCACAATATTCGAAATGCCATGTACGAGCTTCTTAGAACTTAGATGCCCTAAGCTTCTATAGTTCAAGTGCCCCAACCTCTTGTGCCATAGTTTACTGTCAGCTTCAGCACCTTCTGCACTAAGACACTCCGCTTCATAAGTTTCTACATTCACCTTGAATGTTCTGTTGCTTCCCTGCTCAGACTTCATAATCAACTTCTGATTAGAATCATACAACGTCAAGAGATTATCCTTCATAACCACTGATAAACCTTTCTCAATAAGCTAACCCACACTCATCAGATTGCTTTTAATTCCAGGAACATACCAAACGTCTTTGATCAGAATGTTTCTTCCATTCTTCACTCTGACTCTAACATTTCCCATACCTTCTGCATTAAGGTACTTATCATCAGCACATCTGATCTTTGTTCTCCTTCTGGAGTCAAAGTCTATCAGCCATTGTTTGTTCCCAGTCAAGTGGTTTGAACAGCCAGTGTCCATATACCACCAATCTCCTGAACAATCTCCATCAGAATCAGAAGCCATCAGTAGCACAAGTTCATCATCAGAATCTTCTCTGGCTATATTTTCTTCTTCTGATTTCCTTCCTTTGTTTCTACAGTCTCTGGCAAAATGGCCAAACTGTTTACAGCAGTAACATTGAACCTTCTTCTTGTCATACCTTTCCTTTCCCTTCTGATATTTCTTTTCATCAGAAGTTGAGGTTTCTGACTTCTGGAATTTATCACCATGTCTATTCTGCTTCTGGTCCTTCTTGACAAAAGAAGCTTTCAGAGCTTGCTCCACTTCCCTCTCAGAAGTTCTTTCAGTCAGACGCAACTCTTGCGCTTCTAGACTGCTTTGCAACTCTTCTATTCTCATGGTTTCCAGATTTTTAGAATGTTCAATAGAAACAACAATGTAATCAAACTGAGGAGTAAGTGACCTCAGAATCTTTTCTATGATTACCTGTTCAGAAAGTGTTTCTCCACAAGCCTTCATTTCATTAGTGATCAGAATCATTCTGGAGATGTACTCAGAAACTTTCTCATTGTTCTTCATGCTGAGATTTTCATATTGTTTTCGCAGGGACTGAAGCTTTACCTTCTTTACTGATACATCACCACCATAACATTTGGTCAGTATATCCCATCCCCCTTTCGACGTCGTCGAATCAACAATCTTCTCAAACACATTTTCATCCATACACTGACGGATAAAGAACAGAGCTTTCTGATCCCTCTTCCTCGTAGCTCTTTCTTCTGATTTTTGTTCTTCAGTAGCACTTGCTGCAACTGAAACATAACCTTCAGAAACAAGATCCAGAACATCCTGGGCACCAAACAGCACACGCATTTGTATCTTCCATCTGTTCCAGTTTTTGCCATCAAAAACTGGAAGTTTAGTGTTCAAACTACTGCCTCCATTCATCTTAAACCTTGCACAAAGAACTCAGATCTCAGATTTTCTCACTCAGTGTTTCCCAAACCCACAAAATTAGTGTGATTTTGTTTCGAATTTTTGTTCAAGATTCAAAAATCAAACACACAGCTCACTATCACTCGTGTTTCCCATAATTTCAGAATAAACCAAGAGCTCTAGATACCAATTTGTTAGTGCAAGGTGATGAAATTGAGGAAGAAGAGAGAAAAGGAATAAATGCTAAAGGCTGCCACAAAATGATTGAAGGAATTGATTGATATAAATGTAAACCTAGTACACCTATTTATACACAAAATGAACAAAGATAAGAATGTCACATAGGGCCCAATGAGAATATCCTATATATATATGGCAAATACTAAATTACCCTCTAATACTAGTAAAGCTATTATAGTAGTTGAAGATATTGATTGTTCATTAGATTTTACTAGTCAAAGGAAGATTAATAAGGAGAAAAATGTGGAAGAAGAATTAATAGATCAAAAAGACTATTATCATAGTAAAAAAGATATTGAAGAAGAGAATAGTAGTAATAGTAGTAAGATTAGTAAAGTAACTCTATCGGGTTTGTTGAATTTTATCGATGGAATTTGGTCGGCATGTGGAGGGGAAAGGATTATAATTTTTACGACGAATTTTGTGGAGAAACTTGATCATGCTCTTATAAGGAGAGGAAGAATGGACAAACATGTTGAGCTGTCTTATTGTTGTTTTGAGGCATTTAAGGTTCTTGTTAAGAATTATTTGGATATTGAGTCACATGTTTTGTTCGATGAGATTGGTGATTTGTTGGAAGTGGTTGACATGACACCTGCTGATGTTGCTGAGAATTTGATGCCTAAGTCTGTGAATGAAGATGTTGAGAGTAGTTTGAGGAATTTGATTGAAGCACTTGAGAAGAATAAAGTGGAAGGAATTGTGGAAGATGTTAAGGAAGATGGTTTTGTTGTGAGTGGGAAATGATATAACTTTGTGATGGTGATTGCTACATTGTTTGTTCTATTATTCAGATATATAGTATTTTTTAGTTTTTATGAAGTTTTAGATATGTCATTCTCATATATGTACTTTCTTGTCACTATATTTCATATATGAACATTTTGCAACAAAGGCGTATTCTACAAAAGGATGGTGTAGGTAGCATTGCGTTTTTTTTTAAATACCGAGTAGAAATCTTGTTCATAGCCTTCTAAGACCAATCTCTATTATTTAGTGAATTGTTTTTCTCCCTCTAAACATTACTCACCTACTAATGAAAAATTAAAAACTATCTTAAAATTTTGAAATGAATTTTTAGATGTATTCCATTCACATTCATTTTTGAGACAAATCTTAAGGTTATGTCAAAGTCTATTTTTCTTTCTCATTTCATTTGTATTCTCTCAATTCACAAACTCTCCTGACTTTCAAAGCCTCTCAACTCACAGACTCTCAAATTTATTCAACTCACGTCAAAGTTTCAGCCATTAACATTCAATCGATCAAAGAGTTCAATATTAAACTCACATTTGATTAAAAAAATTATTTCTCTATTTTTTTTTATTTCTATATGCATTTGTAGAAATTGAGCAATAAGTTATGTAATAGGTAGCTTAGATATGTTTTTTAAATGAGCAATTTGTTTGATAGGTAGTTTAAACGGTCAATGCATTTTTTGGATGTTAGACTCCATTGCATTTCTACATTTTTCGTTCTTCTCTGAGTTGCAGAACATTACAAAAATGCATCTCTTAATTTTTTAACATTTTGATTTCCAGAATCTAAAAATGCATTTTTGTATTTTGTTTGCATTATTTGCCTTTATTTCATTATGTTTCATTTGTATAATGCTTGTGTAAATAAATTATATATGAGTGATAACAAAGATAGATTGAGGCACAACATGGTTGTGCAACATGAATCAGTTTAGAGGGAAAGAGCTCGATCATCGCAAGCACCAATCGGTTCTAGTTTGGTTGATACAGAGGCGTCAACTTTTAGAGCTCTTACATCTCTCTCTCTTTGTCTTCTGTGGAAGAAATATGTCACCTCCTGATGCCCTGAAAGCCTCCACTAATACATGTTGAGGCACCCTAGAGGTTTGGAGAAGAGTTGTCCGACTTATCATTTTTGTCTCTATATCTGGACCATGCTACTAGGCATGTGTGAGACAGATAGGTAAAATTCAATTGTATTCATTATTTGAAATACATTTGTTATAATACTCGAAGTTTTTGACGATGATTTATTTTTCTGAAGCGTCGTGATGGTTTAAAATGCATCAACATGCCAGAAGATTGTGGGTCTCTCGCAACCTGATGAGTAGTGGTTTCAGGATGTGATGCAGTTATCTGGACTACAAGACTTTTGTAGGAGATTATATTACCCTTAACCATGATATGTTGTCTGCATTTGTAGAGAGGTGGCACTCTAAGATGTCATATTTTCACCTTCCACATAGTGAGATGTCTATCATACTATACGATGCCTCATGACTGCTGCATATTTCGATCAGGGGGAGATTGTTAGACTACGACATGAATATCAAATATGAGGCAGTGGAGTTGATGGTGGACTATTTTGGAGTTGACTAAGGGGATACCCTGCAGAAGATATAAGCCACCTGATGGTCTATTTCTAGGCCTGGATCCTCTAGCACTTCCAACGCATATCCGATTGATCATAAGTTCTTACCTACACTGAAGATATGCCACATGATTATGCATTCGCCCGCTCAGAGGGGATCGGACGACAAAGCCCTTAAGAGTGTATTTTGATTGCATGGTAGCAGAAGATATACACTTCTAGGTGTACACTGATCGCCTTCAGACACATCCCTTGGATGATATAACTTTATGCTCTATATGGTTAGATTGCGGGTCATATCTGATGTATATATATACCTGAGCATATCATGCGACAATTTAACTATATGCAGTTTGTTTCTAGAGAACCCTCTTCTCGCAGCGAAATTTTTTGAGATTAAGCTATTGATTAACTTAACTGAAAAAAAGAAAGAGTCGCCACCGAACTTTATTGTTTCCAAAGGGAAAAGGTAAAAGGTTAAAATAAACCTACAAAAAGTTTTGAAAACCAAAACAAAAAGAGATATTTTAGGTGCGGGGGTTGGTTATGCAAGGGGGAGGTATTAGCACCCCTCGCGTCTATTGTAATATATAAGAACCAGTTGTATTTGTTTATGAAATGAGCTTTTGTTTGTTGATTAATTTTAGGTGAAAAGACATTTTGTCATATTCGAGTGGAAAACTCAACTTACTATCCACAAGTATGAAGAAATGAGCATTTGCATCATCTTGATATGGAGAATTTTACTTGGATTTATTCAACAAGCACGTCTCAACATTCAAGTGGAAAATGTCAAACAATTTCAAAACACACAGTAGAAGTATATGAATTTTCACATCATTTAAGAATAGACTTATATCCTTTCTTTCAGAAAAGGGTCTTGTTTGAAAAGAAAAGTGCACTAAGGAACAAAAGGAAGTTTGATGAGTTTTGTCTTTTTTAGGAGTTTTAAAAAAGTTTCAATATTTTTAAGTGTCTTAGCATTTATTTAGAAAAAGATTTTCTGGATCTCTTGACAAAGTCAAGGTTTATTAAGAAAATATGTGAAGTTTGAAAACAATAAGTTTTTGAAAATCTAAGAAGAGAGGGAGGTGAAGAGACTATCCTAAAGCATAAAGTAAAGAACATGAAATAAAAGGTCTCATTGTAAAGTAGCCCAAGAGAAAGCCTTTGTGTGTGCAAGTGAACTAACCACAAGAAGGGCAAGCATTTGACATTGGTCAAAATAATCATTCCTTTCCCTTTGGAGTAAGCCATAAGATAAGCAATAAGATCCAGATGAAAACACAATGCATTAGATGAATCACAAAGTATCAGATAAAATCCCAATCACCAGGTAAAAATCAGAGGACTTAGATAACACACAACATCAGATGAAATATATAACACAAAATGAGATCCAAAGGTAACAGATGAAGGGATAAAGTCTCAAATTAAATTCCATGTATCAGATGAAATTCAAAGTATCAGATGAAACTCCAAGTATCATATTAAAGGATCCCGATGAATCTCAAGGCCTCAAATGAAAATACTCCAAGCAAAGGAATTATCCAAGGTCCATAGTCCAAATTCCTCAAGCAATGGATAGTAACCAATAGTCCTCAAGAACACATTAATTTTTTTTTAGGGTTTTGTCTTTATTAATGTCTTTTAATCAAAATAAAAAGAAAAGCTTAGGGGGCAAAAGGAAAAATTAACAAAAGTAAATGACATGAAATGTAAAGTGATTCAAATTAAATTGCATTAATGTAAAAGTACGAAAAAAATAAAGTTAGCACAATAATGTTGAGTCAATGTTAGTGTTAATAGTTAGTAATCTTATTCGGGACAATTTAGAGTTATGTTAAAAAATTGTAAGTGAACTTATGTAGAAGTTACACCTATCTGAGGTCGGGAAATAGCAATGTAGGTGTAGTGCATGTTAGATAAATGATACAAAGTCATTCTCTGAAAACATTGCAACACCATAATTCAAAACAAAAGGAAAAATATGAAAAGATAAGTGATCAAACACAAAGCCAGGGAGATTAGATCATTACTTCAATCAAAATATTCATGATACCTTGAGACAAACTTATCATCAATCAAAAGTACCAAAATTGATTAAATAATCCTTTAATTGTAGATTTGAAATGATGAAAGTTCATCAAGCATCAATCTAAACCTAAATGAACAAGATGAATCCATCATCATCCAATTGATCAAAACAAAAGAAGAAAGAGATGAAGAGAGGTGAGCAACAAAATTGAATCACATCTTTAGGTCAATCTATCATCAATTTCAAACACCTATCTTGATGTTTCAATGGAATAAACCTATCACTAATTTATAAGTGGTTTTTATATCGTTTTTATCTGTTGATTTCTTTTCTATTTCATCGCTTTTCCTTCATTTTGCTATGCTTTATGATTTGGTATTGTGATTTTGTTGTTTTCATGCCTTAATAAGCATTATGGATGATAAAAGGGAAAGAATTGGAAGAAACATAAAAAAAGGTGAAAGATTAGAAACCTCCATACAACAGTCAGAGAGCTGTTACGGCCACCCGTAATAAAAATTACGGGCCGTAACATCATGATGCCCCAACTAAGCCTTTGCAAAAGCTCACATGCCATTTTCCAGAGGCCTTTTACAGCCACTCGTAAGAAATGTTACGGGTCGTAACTGACAGGTGCACCAATGTTTAATTATTTCCTTTTCCGCCACGATTGTAGCTGTTTTGGGACTTTTAGCATTTTTGGATCTGATTTGATGACACTTGAAGTCTATGATATTTTTCAACTATTTTATGTTTCTATTTAAATGGCATAAGTTGGAAGGAAAAAGAATCTAGTTTTTATTCAAAGTTTTCTTTTCACGTACTTTTCTTCATCACCTTGTATAAGTCTCTATTAGAGCAACTGGATCGATTTATAATAAAGCTTTTATTTTATTCAGGTTCTTATTTTATTTGCTTTATTTGATTATTATTTCTAATTATGTTTTCTTCAAGAATTATGTTTATCTATTCATCCTTTATAATGAGTGAGTATTTCCCTAAGGACTAAGGGTCATGAACCCTATCAATGATTATCTGTTGGTACTAACTTAAGTCAATTACGAGATTACGACCCTTTATTTATTTTAAAACCTGAATTTTTGATTCAAACCTCGCTAAGAAAGTGGGAGTGTTTTTAGGCATTTACCTTGATCTGAAAGGATAAGTTTAATTATCATAAAGTAGTTTCTAAACGGTTAAGTCTAAAGTCACGAAAGTGATTGGACGAGATTAAGAAATTGTTCCATCTTAATAGTTGCATAAAAGTAATGATCACTGACAAACTCTTATGCGCGAGCGAAAGTTGACGAGTGTCCCATTCGTCAGAGATAGGGGAATACCCCGGCGAAAGCAAGTGTTG